ATTTACTTCATAGACAGCCTTCTTTTTTTACCCCCATTATACCCTCTGTTGTCATTGTTTCTTTGTCTGGACACAAACACTGTTTACACGCTGCCTGGTATCGGTTGTTGGTATCGGAGCATTTTTACGAACACCAGTACATGAGCTCGATATCGGTGCATCCATATGTGTACTTTAAAATATTTTTTGTAAATGAAAAAAGTTTTTAATTTGATCCATTTTGGGTAAATGGTTTTATATAATGTATTCTACTGTTAAAAATTTGAATGTCAGTAAAATGTATTTATTATTATTATTTTTTACGTTTATTTGTCAAGGATGCATTAAATGAATTAAAAATACAAAAAAAACGTTTCCACAAAAATATTAAGCAGCACAACCATTTTAAAATGTGTTTAATAAGAAGAAATGACCAAATCAGTGACACTGAATACTGGAGTAATGGCTGCTGAAAATTCACAGGAATAAGTTAAAATAGAAAAGTTCCTTTAAATTTGTGGTAATATTACACAATTTTTCTGTATTTTTGGTCAAATAGATGCATCCTTGGTGAACAAAAGACTTCTTTAAAAAAAAAACGTACTGACCTCAAATTTATATAAGACATCGATCTTGATTTCTTGATGTTTATATAGTACCTGCATTAGCCAATTAAAACCACATATCGACCCCTGCTTTAACCCATGTCCATAAACATCAGTACAAGCATCCCTGGGTAATATCAGTAAGTGCTATCGTGCGCTGTCTCAGTTCTCTCTCCTGTTCTCTTCACTTAATGCTGACCCAGGAACCCTTCAGGACTCTTCTGTGGGAGCAGCTGGGCAGGCTGCTATCGAGCGGCCTCAAGGTATTATGGGTATAACTCTGGTCTGCTCAAAACAGGGATGTCAAGACTGTCACCTGCTCATTATCTTACCCCTATGTGCACCTTTTGGAGTGCACTCCTTCTCTTGGCATACCCCTAAACACCACGTCTGAATTGACAGCAGTATGTGAACTTCGTGACAGTTTGCAATTAATAAAGTGCAACTTCCAATCATGTCAAAGAGAGAGAATGACCCAATCATGTCAAAGAGAGAGAATGACCCCAAAACATTGTAAAAATAAATAGTGTTGAAACATAGGTGTGTTTTGCTTTGTCTCTGTTTACAATGCGTCAAACACTTTTGTTTCAGTTTTGACTTTTTAGTGTCCAAATCCAAAACATGAACAATGAAGGCTTGTTACCTAATGGAATGTGCCAGTGTAGCAGAATAGAGATTAGTATTGACGAGTTTTACTTTCTAAAGATGTTGAAACCCTCTGTTATCAAAGTCACTGTGACGGGTAAAACAGTATCCTTTTGTTCGTGAAGTAGAACCTTTTTTGTTTCCTTTAGTTTAATTTCCTTGACACTTGAGGAAATGCCCTGGTGTATCATAACAGTGTCATACCTTGGAAATTTGTGCTTGACAATTCAACAACATTATTCATTTCTTTATTTGCATAAAAGGACATGTCCATGTTTTGAAATGTTTGTGTAATGCACTTTGACACTAGTTTCTTTCATAATTTTGATTCTGTAGACCGTTCTCTTTTAGAGTCTTGTCAGAGTTACAAAGGATGCACTTTTTTAAAAATCATAATTGTTCTTTCTTTTCAGTGCCAATAGTAGACCCACGTGCCCCAATGCGAGGGGCCCCGCAAGGCCCTCCAGGGATCCCACCCAGAGGCCTTCTTGGTGATGGTCCGAACGACCCGCGAGGTGGATCTTTGGTCAATGTTACTGGAGACGTGGTGGAGCCAGGGTAACGCCTTCTAAAAACTGTTGCAGTGACATTTAGAATAGATGATCACAGGTTATTAGTTTTGTTAGCTTAATTTTTTTCCCCCTTTATGCATTTGTTATTAACCCTGTAAAGTCTGAAAAATGAAATAATGGTCAGGTAATCAAATAATAAAAAAAATTTTCAATTATATTTTAAAGTCACTGTTTATAGAACCTTGACAAAATAAAATTTATTTAGAAAATTATTAGTTTGGTGTTTTTAAGGTTCTTGAAAATAGTCTTATGGTCACCAAGCCTGCATTTACATACAGTAAAAACAGTTATATAGTGAAATATTACACTTTAAAATAAGATGTTTTCTAAAATGTGAAACATTTTTAGCACCAATTACTCCAGTCTTCAGTGTCTCATGGTCCTTCAGAAATCATTCTATTGTGTTGATTTGGTGCTCAAGAAACATTTCTTCTTATAAATGTTAAAAACAGTTGTATTGCTTAATATTTTTGTGGTAATTGTGATACATTATGTTTCAGGATTCTTTGAATAGACAGTTCAAAAGAACCACATTTATTTGAAATGGAAGTCTTTTGTAACAATACCTTTACGGTCTCTTTTGATCAATTGAATGCGTCCTTGCTTTCTTTAAAACAAAACTGAGCCTAAACTATTGAATGGCAGTGTACATCAGACTTGTATGGCAATTTATTGACCACTAAATATTTTTTATTGCTTTTATAGTTTAAGTTAATAATAAAAGCTTATTATTTTGCTTATTGCTCACGTACAGGCGTGGTTACATTGGAGGCCCTCCGCAACATCAGGGGCCGCCCATGCATATGGCTCCCCCAGACATGCGTGGCCCTCATGAAATGAGAGGAGGACCCATGATGGGAGAACCTAGAGGCCCTATGATGGACCAGCGTGGTCCACCCATGGAGGCAAGAGGTACTTGAAGATGTGGTTTCACTTCATTTGTTGACTTGGTTTGTATATCTGTAATACTGGTTTTGCTCCTTACTGAAAGAAAACTGATTGAAGGATTTCTCTTACAAATAAGATTTTTAGACATTTTCTTAATTCCTCAAGGTCGTGATCCAAGAGCTGTTGATGCTCGGGGTCCGATATCTGGCCAGAGGGTGCCTGTTGCTGGTGGAATGCAGGGTCCTCCCCCCCACGGCATGGGACAAAGTGCACCTCCAGCAGCGAGACCAGTAAGATCTCCACACTCCTATAGTTTGCTCCTATAGTTAATTTAATCATAGCCTTGTGAGGGACCCCCTTCCTAAAATATAAAGGCAGCTATGTGTTCAAGTCAACAGAACCTGTGTTTGTTGTACTAAACGTGATTATTTAAGGAAAGCAGGTTTGCTAAATTTATTCGCTTTTATTTGTCATTGTACTAAAGACAAAAACAAATGATTAAAAATGATCTGGAAAATATTTACTGTGTATTAGGTTATAAGCTTTTTTCCCCATTCAGTATTAAATTATTAGAGAAACAGTGTATTGAGTTCATATTTATATGAATATGACTTTTCACAATAAATATAGTTTTACAGCAGCTTTACTGAAAATAGTACTAAACACAATTATTAAGAAAATCCAAGTCCTTAAAAAGTTGCAAATAAAACAAAAGTTATTATTAATGTTGAAAAAAAAGTTGTGCTGTTAAATGTTTGTGAAAACAATGATACATTTTTTTCAGGAATCTTTGATTTAATATAAAGTACATAAGAACAGCATTTATATCAAATATATATTTGCATATAGTCTTTTACTGTCACTTTTAATCAGTTTAATATCTTCTTGCTGAATAAAAATATTAATTGTTTAAAAAAAGTCTGCCTGACCCAAAACTGTTGAATGGTTTTCATTACAAAGGAAAAATAATGATTTCCCCCAAAAATCATATATTCATTTCAATTTTTTCCACTGACCCTCTTTGCAGCCCCTCTCTCAGGGAGCAGTGTTCAGCTTGCAGTACTTAATTCAAATATCTGCATGTTTCAATCCTGTCTGTCTTTTAACAGGGTCCTACGTCAGATGTGTCATCACAAGACCACGAGAAGGTGGGTCATTTATTTATTTTTCCCCACACACTTTTCAGATCTGCAGCACTGCATCCTTTTAAGTGTTTCACTCACCAGATTTTCCAGAATTACTTGTTGGCATGTTGATTTAAAAGTTCACAGGTTAACCACGCTTCAATTTGAATCTTTCATGATGTAACAAGGCTTCTGTCCTGTAGATACTAATCTATGTGCTGTGTTTCCACATTCCCAGGCTGCCTTGATTATGCAGGTTTTGCAGCTGACCCCAGAACAGATCGCCATGTTGCCACCAGAACAGAGACAGAGTATCCTGATACTGAAGGAGCAGATTCAGAAGACAGCAGGCGCCCCCTGAAGACGACTCATGTGATGTGAGCGCTTTTGTTTCCTTCTCATCTGTCCTATTATTATAGCTTATTATGATAATTACAGGCTCTGTGACAAAGTGGAACGTGTTTTTTTATGTAAAAGAATGAGACATGGTTAATTTGGGTAAGTGCAAGTGTGAAAATCTGACTCTACAACTCATGTGATTACAGGAACATACACATCCCATCGGACAACCCATCACCTGGATACTTTTGTTTTGGTTTGCAAGAGTTCCACATCTGTAACTTCGTTGTTGTTTTTGTTTTCTAGTGATATTTTCTTATTTTAAGTGAAATCAGTTGTTTATTAATAGTAGTGTTTCACAATCTACTGCTAATGAAAAAAATAAAGAACTGGATTTTGAAATAAACTGGAAATATTTTTTTATATACAAAGAATATATAATATTTATAATGTACAGTATTTAAAAAAACTCTTGTATGATTACACAACCAGTGACTAACCAAATGTGACATGCTAGATCAGATAATGTGTGGTTCTTTTTCACTTTTACAAGGAGCTAAAATTTCCAAAAGCTCAGTAGCTTCTTGCCATGCTAATTTTAGAGCTGTGCATGTATTTACACAAGGAGGCATTTATTAACACAATACATTCTGGTGTAGTAGGTCTTATTTCCCTCATTCTTGGTGATTCATTTCTAACCAGGAACTTGAAAAGCCAAACCTTGAAAAAAAGAAATACAATGAGGGGACTTTTCACCCAGATGTGGAATTAGTCCCTTCCAGCAAGTTGTTTACTTTCCAGCAGGAAGGTTGTCCCTTTTCACGTAATGTCACAGTAACGGAGAAAGATTTGAGAAATGACAAATCATGATACTGCTGAAGAACACAATCCCTAGTGCGCAAGTCTTTCACGAGAATTCGGTTTCCTGTAAAATATTTCCTCAGAAGTTCTCTTTGTTGAAGTAAAACTTGGTTCTCCGTGGATCCACGTCCGAATACTTCACACATTTCTTCTCCAAGACCTCCGCTAAGGCTTGTGGGCCACACAAGAATGTTCCAACCACAGACCTATTGATATTTAAAATGAAATGTTAGTGTTGGGAAATTTTATGAGCATCATATGTAAGAAGCAATAACATGATGAAAAAGTTTAAAACGTACGACGGGTTCTCTTGCCGAACTTGCTCAAATTCTCTATCCCAGTTCGGTCGGCCATAATGAGTCTTCTGCTTTAAGCCGGTGATGATATCTGTATCCTTATCGAAATGCACCATTGCATGGTCTGCCTGTAAACGCAAGATTAGATGTTCTGTGACATGCGCACATTACTCATACTTCAAGTTAATCTTACTGTTCATATCACAGGAGATTTATTTTTTTGCACTTACATGACTCTGGTCCCATCCGGTGAGATAGAGCTTATATGTGAGGAAGTCCCTCATTCCTCGTTCCTCCATTTCTTTCTCAAGGACTTGTAGGAGATCTGCAAACCACTCAAAGGCATGTGTCTCCCTACAGAGCCAGTAGAAGTAAATCTAAACACAAAGGTCAGAAATGGTAAGGAAACTGAGTTTCAAGAAATGCCGGACTTTGTTATCTAGGGCATAAAGACCTTTGTAATATAACAGCGACAACAGGAGTTGTTGTACTTGACCTTTGCACTAACTTCCTTATTTACGTCCCAAATGTTCTTACCCTCTTTGTTCGTAGTTTGGGGTCGGAGTCTTTAAACTTATACCAGATGGACTTCAGGATAGAGGCAAATGGGGTCACTCCAATCCCAGCACCCACCAGCATGCTGACCTCGTAATGAAATACATCCTCGCTCGCGGTTCCAAACGGACCGTCCACACCCATCCTGACACAAAAATAAAAGATCCATACATTATTCTTGATATTTTGTTTATCACACTTCACCAAGAAATCAAAATGGACAATTCTTCATTTTTTATGGAATAGTCAGTGTTTATTATAAATGACTTATTTATCCATGCACATCTTTTTTTTTTTTTTAAATCTGTGTGCCCTCATGATTGATGTTCAAAATAACTTCCCCCTCCCTCTGTCACTCACATGAGATCACAGCAATAGCAAACAACAATCATCCAAATATTTTCTGATAGAGGAAAATCAAGCCGCGCCCTACATTCTTGTTTCACTCAGACATGCGTTACAATAGGGAAGGGAAGGCTATTGCAACTCCTGTTTCATGCATATTTTAAAGTTGAAATTAAACCGCAGTTTGAAGATTGCATGAATATGTTGTGCCCAGAGAATAAGTAAAATGGCAAAGAGTACATACTTAGGTCCTTGCCCACCCTCTGGTAGGTTTTGGACCATACTGATGAGCTTTTCAGTCCAGTCTCCAACTGAGCGGATGTGCACACTAAAGAAGTCTTCCTCCGGGGCTGATGTCATGGTGAATGGGTGCCACTCCAGCTGAGAGATGGCTGGGCAATTGAGGAACACATACTGGCCGACTTCCATCTTGAATCCAGACTTAACCAGCTGTAGTTCCAACACTTTGGATGGGCGGATTACAATCTAGTATACAAGCATGAATACAGTTTCTGATTACAGAGCAATCGTGATGGGGTTCAGATGAACTATATATTTGTAGTTTTGTCAAAACGTTCGCGACAACACACCTTTCTATAACCGACAGGCTGCATGTAGCGAATGAAACGTAGCAGCCGCTCACAAAGGTAAATGATCATCGGTCCAATCACCCACATCCAGGTCTGCAACAGAGGATTCAGCCAATTGAAATCAGCCACCACCAAAAATAAATCTATCATTTGTAAATTTGACAACTTTTACCTGAGGAAACCCTCCGGCAAACTGTGGCATTGGACATTCGGGAATTTTCCCCCAGTTCTCTGGCTGGTCTTCACAGAAGGAATTATTGTGAGGTGGATCGGTCTCTTGCTGACTTCGCACAATTCGTCTGGACATAAACCAAACCGCATGTTTTACTTGCTCTTAATAATCTACTATAAATTAGTTTTAAAATTGGCCTCAACCAGTAAATAGTCCTTACCCTGCACCGTGGAAAACCAAGCCAGCAAAGAAAATGATGAAGAGGTGATGCGTATACCAAAAGACCTCAAAGTAGCTTCTGCGAATGACTTCCATAGAGGAAGTGATAATAAGGATGAGGGCAAGAGTTATGACGACACCTGTGAGACCCGCGATAGTGGTGAATACAAAAACCGTTGGAGTCTGGAGAAGAAGGAAACAAGATTAGAGCAGGCATATCACACCTCAGAAAAAAATACAGTATAGAACTCAGTTGTAATGTACCGTTCATAAGTTTGGGGTTGGTAAGTGCTTTTTAAAAATGTTTTAGAAAGAAGTAAAAAAAAAAAACAAGGCTGCATTTATTTGATCAAAAATACATTAAAACTAGTAATATTGTGAAATATTGATTTAAAATAAATGCATTATGTTTTAATATATTTTAAAATGTAATTTATGCCTGTGATGGCAAAGCTGAATTTTCAGCAGCCATCACGCCAGTCACATGATCTTTCAGATATAATTATAATAGGATGAATAGGCTCAATGAACATTACTTTTTATGATCAGCACAACCGGTTTTGCTGCTTAATATTTTAGCGGAAACATGATAGTTTTTTTCCAGGATTGTTTGATGAATAGAAAGTTAAAAAGAACAGCATTTATTTGAAATAGAAGTCTTTTTAAACATTATAAATGTCTACTGTCACTTTTGATCAATTTGATGCATCCTTGCTGAAAAAAAAAAGTATAAATAAAAAAGAAATTTTATTGAACCCCAATTTTTTGAAAGGGTGTATATCAAAAACCTTAATAAAAGCAATGAAAAGTACAGCAACTCACCGTAGAACTGGAGCGAATTGGATTAAGGTAAGTAGTATTTAATTGACGGGAGTCGTCGAGCATGGACAGATTCCCGGCGACAAGCCCATATCGACCATCTAAGCTGTTGCTGTACCACTCCACGTTAAGCAAATGAGCGACAGTGTGAACCGCTGCATTAAAGAGGCATTTCATAAGGTCAAAATCAGATACCATGTCAAAGTAAAAATGTAAAAACATAAAATGGATGTTACAACAATTCTAATTTTTGTTTATTAAAATAGTTTACTGGCAAATCTGAAATTAAGTTTGAAAATATGATTAAGTTGAATATGATTTATATATCCATGCAGAACCCCTGAGTACCTCTTGCTCTAACTCATGAAGTTGTTTAATAGAACTTAAAATACAGCATTTTGGACAAAAACTTTTTTAGTTGTTTTCTTTCTTTCTTTTCTGATCTGTCTTTTCACATTGACATGTGATAGCATAAAAAAAAACCTGGCATGTCCTGATGGATAAAACATATATTTCTTTAGCCAGACACAAACGTGTTAAATACTACAGTCAGCTTCTTACAAAATCAAAACTTTGTCAATGTTTATCCAGATTTGGCCTAGAAGAATAACACTGCCTGCAATGCTATAGGCAGGGTTATCAGGGGTCAAATACTCAGACTACCACTCAGGCTGTGATTGATGTGTTGTTAACAATGAGAAAATGTTTGATTATGTATCCTGTTGTTGCATCACAGCATAAAAAAAAATGCCAGTGTGAATGTTCTGAATAGCTATCATGAGAGCACTTTCTTGTAAAACATACTCCAGGTGAGAGTCTAGCCTACTTTATGCACAACGATTTCCTATTAAGTTTTCAAGGACATGTTGCTTACCTGTCATTAGGGCAATCATGTAAGCGACCAATTTGTGGAAAGTAAGGTTTTTGTCCAGCTGTTTCCTCACTGTTCGTCCACAGCACTAAAAAAATAGACAGGAGGGCAAATACTTACAGAGGGTCTCATATCTCAAACACAAAGGTGCAAGTGTGCAGCAGCAACTCACCATGAAAGAGCCACGGATAAGAGACAGCAGGTTGCGGCAAACTGGCAAAAGAATCAGCATGCAGTTGAAGTTGAGTACAGCAGCTGGAGCTCTGGCCCAGGCCAATGCAGGCTAAAAGAAACAGTCCCTTTAAATACTTTCACTCTGCTTATCTATTTTTACTGTAAAAATATGTTATTAAATACATCATTTATTTCCTTAATGTAGGCTACTATTTTCTCTTAGAGAATGCTTTTTTTCTGTCAAACTTACCCCTAAAAGTTCACGAGTGTATTCAAATTGTGGTCCCTGATCATAGAATAAGTAGAAGTGGACAAACAGAAAGATGTTGATGGCCATCCACACCACCTACAAATAAAGATAAAAAGATCGACTTATTTTAACCTCAGGTTAACTGCATTATCCTTTTTTTATTCAAATAGCAATCAAAACAATGCCTCAATACCACGATGAAAGCGCCCAGCCCGTGATTGATTATCCAGTTGGCCATCTTTACTCTCTAACGCTGTATAAACGAATGAACACTCCTCGCAGATGAGTGCTATATTACTCACCTGTCCCGTTCAAGACACCGCCCTCTAATGTCATCACTGACCAGGAAATAGGCTGTGGAATAATGATTTTGTTGCATTGCACGTCTGAAGAAATTCCCGAGAGGAAGCTTAGCTACCTGAACTTGTCTGTGCGTCTTATTTGACTGGAAATGGTTACATAAAGAAAGGCTCGGCCGTTACAAAATGTCAGCCGATTTTATTTTCACAAAAGAAGGGGGAAAAAAGAAGAACGAGCGTATCACACGTAGGCCTATGTATAGAAAATGAAGTTTTTGTTTTTATAAAGATTTGTTTTTTAGTTTGGGCACAAATTGGCACATTTGCCCTTCACATTAAATGCGTTAAGACATTTTTCTTTAACGTTTTACTTTACATTATGCTCAGTCATTATTCTCATTACTATTTGTATTACAATAAATAAAAAAAGTGTGATACAATGTTTTTATATAATAAACAGCACAACAAACACCATTATATTATATAGGCAAAATATTTGACCATTTACATTATGCATTACATTTAGTCTAGCAGGCTAATGTATTTTTTTCTTCCAGCATTACAACATAAGCTATGCAAATTTTTTCAATTGAAAATTGACCCTGATATATTCAGTTTCATATTTCAGGTTTCATATGATTCACCTAAAAAATCTATTATGAACCACAATCACAATTATCAGGCATGATTCAAATATTCAATGCATCTTTATTCATATATTCCAACTCAGTACTTAAGAGGCACATAATTCAGGCAAACACAGGCAAAAATATTTCCATACAAAATAAACAAACAGACATCTTTTTTTTGCCAGTGGAAAATTAAGAACATGAGTCTATTCAGGCACAAAATTACAATATCACACAATATTAAGGCAAATGAGAGTTCAATTACCAACATTAAAGAAGGCTCTCCAAATCTAGAGGTTTAATAAAAAGCACAGGGCTGCTGAGGCAAACCTAAGAAAATTTCAGAAGGCTCTTTGGCTAGTTGAGTCACAGTTTCCTGGAAAAAGTTAGTGCAGCAGGTACTAAAATGTTACTATTTTCATTCCTCCAAAATTGGCACATTTCCCACACACCTGGCCATGCAGCTCCCTAATGAAAGCTGCCTTTGTGAATCATCACAGCATAACTCAACCGAAGGCATTCTTTGGTCTTCAATGGCCAACAAGAAGAAATGGGTCAGTCTATGGTCAGCGCACTACAATTAATAAATTATGAGCTGCCCTCTCCACATAAATGTAATAAGGTTATCATGCTCTACATCTCCTTTTTTGGAGGAAAGCTCCAAATGACGTAAAACAAAATTCCTGAAGCTTTTAGGACCATATAAAATCAATTGTTCCTTCACCAAGTACAGTAGGTATAGCATAGTTCATCTCGAAATAATACTCCTGAGTCAGGATATGTGCAAATACGCCTAGCATGGCCCCAAACAGAGCTACAATAACAAACAGCCAACTTAATTCATGCTGCCTCCATGATATCATCCACAATATCGGTTTCTCTATCTGTCAGGTGGTTAGCGAGGTCAGGAGGTGCATGTTCCTGAAGACCTTCTGCACGGTCTGCAGGTAGCTCGAATTGCTTTTTCTTCCAGCAGCACGCACAACGTAGACAGTCCTCGACGTTGTAGTGGAAGAGTCTGCGGCACGGATGGCAGAACTGATGGAAGACCAGCATGAAGATCACAGCCAGGCTGTAGCACACGATAAGCTGCACCACCAGCAGTGGTGTGCACACGTATACGTAGAAGTCAGACTTGAAGTAGTACCACAAGACGATAAGGGTAACATTCTCCATAAAGCGAAAGGTGTAGTAAATTGCCAAGCATCTCCAGCGGGGCTGTTTCTCCACCAGGTCGTGGTCGGCCAGGTCCAGCTGCACGGCAGACCAGCAGAAAATATTAATGCAGGCATAGAGGAACGTGATCATGCAGAGCACCACGGTGGTGCCCAGCTTGCTGAAGTTCATCTCAATGTTCTCAGGCAGTGACGCCCTCCTGGCCCAGAACTCAACCCATGGTTGGAAGAAGAAGATCAACAGGTTGGTCAGGCCCACCAGGACCACCCAGAACGTGAGCGCTGAGCTGAAAAGCACCAAGGTGGTGATCCGTGTGGCGATCTCTAACCCTCGCCAGAGGATCATGCACAGGTAGGCGGCAGGTTTCATTCGCACTTTGTAGTCGTCGTACTTGATCTGTATGGCCAGAACACTGCAAACTAAAGCCCCGTATACGATTGATATCAAGGAAATGATCATCAGGGCAACTGTAAACACAAATAGGATGAGCATTAGTGTAAACAATATCCTAAACGGTTTCCATTTGTTGACATTAGTTAACTACTAAACATGAACTAACAATGAAAATACTTCTAAAGCATTTATTAATCTTAGTTGTGTTTATTTCAACATTTACTAGTATATTAAAATAATCTGTTGCATCTGTTAATATTATTTAATGGACATTTGTATTTTTTTTAACTAATGTTATTGTTAAAAGATTATCACAGCTCTCTGAAATGTTTGATTCTGATTGGTCAATCGCGACATTTCGGGGTCAGTTATTCTCCGATAATGACTGTCGTTAATAGCAACGCTGTATATTGGCCACTTATCTGGGTATTTTAGGCCGGCTCTTCTTTCATGTCTCCCGCTTTCTGGGAACTGTTTTTCTCGGTGAAAACTTCATATTTAATGAGCTAATTTTTTTTTTTTTACTGAAATCAATATTTTGTGTCTACCTATTTACTTATGTGGCAAGTAGCGGGATAATGTACATCAAACTGGTTGTTATCGCAAAATAAACCCCGACAGGGAGATCAGGATTGGGGTTTATTTAGCGATAACAACCAGTTTGATGTACATTATCCCTTTTTTATGCCCATTATCACTTATTTAACTAATAGGAATTTTTTGTACAGAGGGTAAAACTTTATTTTCCAGTGTCCTTGTTATACGTGGTACATGTAGTAATTATAGTAATAACTATAAATGATGCATAATTACATGCAACTAACCCTAAACAAAACCTTCATCATAACCCTTACCCAATAGTAAGTACATGTAGTTAATTATTATTACTCAGTACTTAAATGAATAATTACACTGCAACACATACACCTTCAAATAAAGTGTAACCGTTAAGTGCTACCAATATTACAATTGAAATCTGGTAAATAAATGAAACTCACGGCGCGGGGGAAGGACGTATTTTTCCTGAATGGTGGCGTAGAGCTGTAGAGTGAGCTGAGGAGTGGAGCCTAGGAAGGCCTGGATGACAGCTGTGCGCTTGAAGGCATTGCGGTGGACGGCTAGCTTGCGCTCAGAGTGTCCGATCTCACATTCGAGGGCTGAGCCTAAGCCTCTGCCATGCTTTAGCTTGATCTTTCTTGAAATCGTAACATATGGTTCCTCCTTTTTACCCGCCTGCCAGTAAACAACAAGAGCTTCAATGCACCTGTTCAAGGAAAGGAAAAAGGAATCAGTCAGATACTGAAAATAAAAAAAGCAAATTCTGCTGTTTACAATGGATTTTAAGGATATGACTACTGATTTATATACAACATAAAATAAACTTATTATTACTCTATTTACCAATTTGAACAAACACAGTAGAATTTTACTACTCATACACTTAGTTTCCACAAGGTGGCAGCATTATCTTAGCGATAAACCCTTTCAAACCAGTTTATCAGCTTGGCTGAAATAAGAGAAACGGGTGTTGCTCATTCTGGGTAAAAACTACACAACAGTGGTGTATGCATGTTCGGCGTGTGTACAACATTAAACCCTTAATTTGAATAAAGTATTGCCTTTAAACTTTAATCAAATTGAATTAATAAATAAATTTACTTTTACTCAGTAAGGGCACCTTAAATTGTTTAAAAGTGACATTAAAGACATTTATAATGTTACAAAATATTTATATTTCAAATAAATTCTGTTCTTTTAAAACGGCTATTCACCAATGATACTGAAGGAGGAAAAATGGATCATGTTTCCACCAAAATAAATGTACTGACCCTAAACTTTTGAACCAGTGCGTGTATGTATAATCAACTTTATACAAATTATTTGCTCTGTTTCTAGTGCCCAACAGGATGCATGAACACTAAAACATTGTGTAAATGGCTGTGTACAAACAATAAATAAAACCATTTAATAATGTTTTTGTGTCTTCACATGAATGAATTGATTGTGATTTACTATGTAAATCACAAAACATAACAGTATTATTCTTAAAGTTATAATTTACACAAAAATTGAAACCTGTATGAATTCATTTTGTGTGGTGAAACAAAAGAAGATATTTTGAGAAATGCCTCAGTGTAGGTTTTTTCTCCATACAAGATGGGAACCAAAACTGTTTAGTTACTAACATTCTTCAAAATATCTTCTTTCGTGTTCCACGGGAAAAAAAAACATTGTACAGGTTTGGAACGACACGAGTAAAAGATGTTAGAATTACATTTTTTGGGTGAACTATCCCTTTAAAGTCACTCACACTGATTGTGTGATTAAATTGTGTGAGGTTGTCACGTCTCTGTGTAGATAGTTGGTTGTTAGCACTACTTGTGCTCGACTGCTGAATGCAACATATCAGGTGACGGATCACATGAGCTTCACCCTGCTCACACTGTCGCCTCACCAAATGTCTCTCTTGCCCATGTTGCCTCAAATCTAACCCTAGCCCTAACTCAAAATTAAAATGAATGACTTCTGCTCATTTTATCACATCAAAGTCACTGTGAAAGCCTCTTTTGCTGTAAAACGAGAAGGATGATTTGAGCAAGAATTATAACACTTAGACACAACATGTGGAAGCGGCTGTTTCAGTTTGCATAAGTGGTCATGTTTATTCGAAAACATGTAAATAAAATGTACAACCCTAACTAATATTACATGTTTGATTTCAGTTTGTTCAACATGATGATACCTTTTAGTCATCTTTCACCACCTCAGTCATCTTTTGCAGTAAAATTCATGAAAAGCAGCACCTACAGATATTATTAAAAAAAAAAAGCTATTTAAGGCTTGTTACACTTTGGCATAATCTGATGCACAACATCTTAATCTAATAAATTGAGAGCTGTCTGCCATATTAGAATGCTTGGCCTGACTTGCACAAAGAAACCGGAGCCTGTTAAAAGGTTATTTAGAGCTTCGTAAAATGATTACTAAAGACAGCCTTTGGTTTCTACGAGGCAACTACAAAGCCTGTTATTATAGAAGGAGATGATGAAGGTGGCTATATTTGATCTTGATATTTAATACTTGCCAGCAGATGCTTTTTGTTTGTTTTTTTTTCATCCAAAGGATACAGTACTATAACAGGATTCAATATGCAACATCTGTGTTTGCAGCCCAAATTTAGCAAAACACAACAACCGTTCAAATATGTTATAACCATGCAGAATTGTATGACCAATACTAACAGGAGAAAATGTTCACATGACATAAATGCTTTCAAATTCATAAAGAGATTGTAAACCTAATCCATATGAATTGAGCGGTTTAGTCCAAATCTTCGGAAGAGACTCGATCGCTTTATGACGAACAGATTTAATTTAGGCTTTTATTCGAAAGTCTTACGAGTTTGGGACGGCATAAGGGTGAGTAATTAAAGACATTTTTGGGCGAACTATCCCTTTAAGAGTCATTCTTCAAAAGCTCTTCACTCAAGTAATACAGTAAGATGTTTACTGTGAAACAGGTTGACCTGAGTTTAGTCAGATAAGACATTTCCTATTCAAGGGAATGTTTTTATGACATTGTGTTAGATATTTATAGAGCTGACCCTGGCCCTCATCTGCTCTTTACAGTCTACTGACTGCTTACCGACCTCAGCTCAGCATACCAAAGAAGGAGTCAGTCCACAACTTAGGCCTGCACACTGCATTCATCTAATACTTTATCAGACTTGACAATAAGCGATGAAACAGATGTGCTATGTTGCCTGTAGTGTACAGTCAATAGTATAATATTTTATATAAATAAATAAACCTAAAAAATTCTAATTTCAATTTGATATGAAGCTCTTGCAGACCTGAAGGCTGAATGCTAAACCACATGCCTTTTCTTTGGCAAGAAATGATCTGCTAAGCAAATGCATTTTTATTTTAAACAATTTAATTTGGTGGTTGTTAAGAGAGTTGTAAATATACATTTTAAATACATAAAAAGCAAGTGTAGTGCCCTGATGAGAGTATAAATCTATTGCTTACACAAGTCGCAAGACTTGACATTGATTTCTACTGTACACAGGCAACAGCCTGAGCCTATAAAGAGATATTTGAATACGATATGACACCGGTCACGACCTAGATAGTATCTGTCTGTCCTTGTGGGATCAGCCACATATTCCTAAATTACAGTGTTGTTTAAACGGAGTAGAATAACTGAAGGAAGACTTTAAATTCCAACCAATAAGATTAAATCTCGCTGGGAACTTTTGGTTTTACTCTCTTTCACCTTGTAAACTCCCCAAACACCACCTTAATAACCCGGAAAACATGTTAGTATTTGCTCAACAAGACTAAACACATTTTGAAATTTGAAACGCACAGATGCCTGAAGCAATTGGAGTACTGTATCTGAAAGGTGTTTTGGGAGACTTCCAATATATCCAATATTTCTGTTGTACTGTGTGAATGTTATTATGCCATTGAATTATTATGCTAGTAAAAACAGTATGATAACCTTCTTTGAAAATATCACAGTATACAGCAGTACACAATTCGATTAAACATTGATTCATTTGTAAATATCTCAGGTTCTTAAAGAAAAAAAAAATTCTCTCCAAACTAATGCTGCAAACTTTACAGGGAACCCTCATTTAGTAGAATAATATTAAAGGTTAAAATTAATAACATTAACATAACCTATTATATTCAATTGCTTTAAAAAAAATATTGCTGACCCCAAACAATAGTGATTAGGCTATAGATACTACATATGAGGTCCAAAGTACTGTTCCTATACGAGATCCAAAAAATTACTTTTAGGGGAGCCCAAATAATGGTTTGATATGTTTACATTACAGTTGACATTTAAGATTTTATTGTTTTTAATTGTTTAATGTAAAAGTATAGCTGAAAGCCTATAATGCTTAATGTCAGTTTATATTGTGACAGCTTCTCATATTAGCGACATGGAACACATCTTGTACAATAACAATAATTCATGGCCAATAATGGAGGAAATACTCAATAGCTTTTTTTGTAGCCAATAGGGGTGCAACAATATATCGTGTCACATATCACAATACAAAAAATGCAATAATATGTAACGTGGATAATGACAATATGCGTTTAGTTCACCCAAAATGAAAATTACTACGTGATAAAAAAAAAAATCAAGTTTACAGTTTTAGTGTCAGCAGTCAGCACTACATTAAACTATCTATATTGTTGAATATAATGTATAATAATGCAATAAGAGGATATTTGTGGGTCCTGAAAATGCCAAATGTCATGTTTCCAGTAAAAAGTGTCCAACATCATTTTAAATATATCCAGTGAGTGACAGAGTGCAAGCATTCGTCTAAAATTCTGTATTTTCAGCTTCAGAATCATGACTATTTTTATTCTGGTGTCACCGTTGTCCTGTGCATTGGGTTACCAGCACCAGGTCCGAGCCTATTCATTTATACCCACAATGTAATACCAAATTTTGCTTTTTAAAGGTGCTCTAAGCGATGTCACGCGTTTTTTAGGCCAAAACATTTTGTCACATACAGGCTACAAACATCTCCTCACTATTGGCTAGCTGCCTGTCCCACTGTAAAAAACGCGGTCTCTATAGACACCCCAGGCTCCACAAACAGCAACAAAAACAAACTGGGCTAACGTTAAAGGACAAGTTCGGTATTTTACACTTAAAGCCCTGTTTTAAGATCGTTTCTGATAAAATAGAACGGTTAAGATTAAAATTTGGACACATGCTGCTGTCCCAAGAATTTTCGGTTTCTGTGGTAGCACCCCCCCCCCACCTCCACAATGGTTGCATAGAAACAATCCTTCCTAAAACATGAACCACTGAGCCACTGGGGGCGGCAGTGGCTCAGTTGTTCATGTTGGTTATCTACAAACCGGAAGGTTGGTGGTTCAATCCTCGGTTCCACTTGACCAAGTGTCGAGGTGTCCATGAGCAAGACACCTAACCCCAGCTGCTCCCGACGAGCTGGATGGCGCCTTGCATGGCTGCCGTCGCCCGTCGGTGTATGAATGAGTGAGTGAATGGGTGAATGTGAGGCAAATTGTAAAGCGCTTTGGTGGCCATTGGGTCTGTGAAAGCGCTATATAAATGCAGTCCATTTACCATAAAACGCATTAAACTTTAGTTTACAAAGACGTGAAACTCACCGAGTGGTCAGGGGTGTTCACTGATATGCTCACACAAAAATCGCTGCAATAATCCATAATCCATATGAATCGCTGTAGTTTTTGTCCCAAGTCAAGTCAATGGAGTCAACTCAATTGACTTGAGACAAAAACTATGATAAAAGGTGTGTGTGGGGGGGGGGGGGGGGGGAAACCGAAAATTCTCGGGACAGCAGCATGTGTCCAAATTTTAATCTTAACCGTTCTATTTCACCAGAAACGATCTTAAAACAGGGCTTTAATGGCGCTTTTCCACTACACAGTACCAGCTCGCCTCGGCTCGGCTCGGCTCGGCTCGGCTCGGCTCGACTCGACTCGACTCGACTCGACTCGACTCGACTCGACTCGACTCTGTTTGGTTTTCCACTGTGTAAAAGTTGTACCTGTACCTGCTTTCGGGTACTTTTTTTCGTACCACCTCCGGCGAGGTTCTAAGCGAGCTGAGGCGAGCTAAGCCGATACTAAAATGTGACGTGAAAACAATGCCGACTGCTGATTGGTCACAGAGAATCTGCGTCATCATTGCACGCGCCAGATGGAGTATTTTAAATAGGCCTAGTTTGGCCAGAGATAGTTTCTAAACTTACTACTATTATTATGGCAACTCGGAAGAATACGCCGTGGTCAAACGAGGAGGTGCAGACATTCCTTTGTTTGGTTGCCGAAGAGAGGATCCAGCGAGAGCTTGATGGGGCAACGAGGAACGAAATGCGTCGCTATGACGACCGGGTACTATTTGTGGCGGTAGTTTCTGCAATGGAAAACGGAGCGAAAACCGAGCTGAGTCGAGGCGAGCCAAGGCGAGTCGAGTCGAGTCGAGCTGGTACTGGTAATGGAAAAGCGCCATAAGTGTAAAATACCGAACTTGTCCTTTAACCCACACCACGAAACATAAACAGTGTTCCAGCCAATAACCAACAACAAGAAGGTTTTGGGGGGTTATGGCGCGTAGCGTACACATGAAGGGGGGTGTGCAGGAGAGAAGCATGAAGAGGGAAGTCAGAATTATATTCTCTTTAAGTTTGATATGGGCGACACACGACAAAAGAGACGACGTCCCGATGAACAAATTGCAAATAAGAGGGAAAAGGATAAGGAACGCGAAGTCCCGAATTTACATTGGAAAAGCCTTTGAAAGGTGGCAAGAACTCCGCCGGCATAAGGGCTTCCAATCCGACATTCGGGTAGCTCTGTTTTTGGTGGACAGGTAGGTAAATCCATTTCTTTTTTTGTTTTTCTAAATGCACGTTCATGTTCGACTAACCAACACAAGGGAGAGGGAGGGGGAGGGGACGGGATGAGGAGGAGGGAGGGTCTAGCTAGCCTCCGTTTTGTTTGAGTAGGAGGTCTCTGCGGAACAAAAGTGGGTATTTCTAAATTTGTGGGTGTTTTCAAACTGGTGGGTGTTTATAAACCATGCAATGAAAATTATGCCCTTCTCCCGACCCCACCCCTAAGACCTACCCACACTGTGACGTGGCAAATCAGGTAACACGGTTGAAAACGCCCCTATGTTTATGGCCTTGCCCACTGATCTGGTAACTCCACTGATCTAGAATGACATTATATAGATCAGTGGGTAACTCCTATTACCGTCTGCAGAGACCTCTATTTGTTTTGTTTGACAATACTTCGAATGTCAACAAGAAGTGACGACACCCAACATCGCTTAGAGCACCTTTAAGCTACATTTTTAGTTAACCTTTTACCATATGTCTTGGAGTAACGTTATCGCAATAATATCGTATCGAGAGTTCAGTGTCGTGATATCGTGACATGAGGGCATCGTTACACCCCTAGCCACGTGTTTCAAGTGAAACTGACTTTCAAAAATAAACATAGGCCTACCACGATACGTATTTACGGTATTTATCAATATTATGGTCATGTGATCATCAAGTACCATCATCTCTCATACCTTATGATAGGCCCCATCTGAAGCAGATGCATGAAGAGCACAAGGGGTCGGTCTCTCCCCAAGTCCCGGTGCACGAAGGTCAGTGTGAGTTGGGTCAGCACCGACGGAACCAGCATGAATGTAATAGTCAGTCCCATCCACACCACGTTCTCAGTGTCATGGTACCTGCTGCTGAGCACAGAGGCACATATAAACTCCGCGCAGTACAGGACCGTCGCCCACAGCACACTGAAGGGTGGTTGGACGTTACTGTGGCTGATCACCATCACGACACCGTTCTCACTCTTGTTCACGGCGGACTGCTGCGCCACCACCTCTGTGATGTCATGCTCGTTCGCCTTGTTGTTTTCCATCTTTCCCCACTTCTCGTGCGCTTAATATGTGTCGATCCTCGCAGCGTTAGTGTCATTGTTCATGAAACGTCATCGTCGACGTCGATGTTTCGGATCTCAATTGACCGTCTGCGTGGTCCATTTATGTGAACTCGGCTCATATGCACATTGCCACATATGCAATGCTGGGAAGGAAAGTAACATTAGTACCTAAATAGTATAACGTTAGTGATCTTCGGTGTTTAAAAACATGCTACGTACCGATCTAGACATTACGATGCCACCAACATCGATTAATTAAACTGTCAGATTATTTCCATTTCGAAGAGAGACTTTCAACGGAATTGTCTCTGATCAGAAAGCCAGGTGTGTCCCGAAATGCAGTGAGTGACTGAAAGCCTGCGCTGTTATTATTGCTGTCTCGAGCTGCTGGATTCCCACAGGTCCTAGTGCACACCGGATGTGGTTAAAGGCCCACTGAAGTGCCTTGAAACGCGCAGCATTATTCAATGTGTTGACGTATTTTCCACTGAAACAGGAAGACAGGGCGGGACATATCGAAAAGCTTCTCCCCTTTTTTAAAAATGTGTGATATAAAAGTGTTTATTTTATATCACAGCTCAGCCAGAGCCATTGAGCTCGGTAAAGCAGCAGTGCCCTCCTCCCTCTAACTGTTTCTTCTCCTAATCTCCTACATATGACTTTTAAAATATAGCATTCTGTGCATAAATCAAATGGGTCCGATAGGTTTTCTTGTATGCGCAGACTCTATCATATGATCCGTTCTGTGCTATCGAGCAGACTGTGCATGTTCGGGTGAAACCAGACTTCATTCACGTGCCATTCACCATGTAGAAAATAGTAAATTTGTGACTGATTCCAGCCACGGCTTCAGCGTATATTTTTAATGTAGGGGGCGGACGGTATGCTTCAGATTCTATAGCATTTGATTGGACAGAAAATCTGATGAAAAGCTGAAGTGCAGAGTGATGTCATCAAAAACATTGTTCCATTGGCGAAAGTGAGAGACTGTAAGTTTTGAATATCTTCTAAATGCGAATTTTGTCATTGTTTTGGAGCACACTAACTCATAGATGACAGATGACATAATTCATACTAAAAGCAAAAAACAAACAAAAATTGATTTCATGGGGACTTTAAACTAATTTTTTGTGCATTGCATGGATCTAATGTTATATTCTGTACGCCTTCTTTTTCTTTTCAATGCAGAAGAGAGGGCAAACTGATGGCAGCAAATTAAGAAACGTGAATTTAATTTATACAAAGATGGCACATCATGGCAGTATCTTTGAGGCCTTAAAATAACATGTATTTCTTTTTTTGGCTGTCTATTTATTCACATGAAATGCTAGGGCAGGGGACAGAAGAGAGGCTTTGATACTTCTCAGAGATTTAATGGACAAACTTCTAATAAAAGAAGAAAGCAGTAGTACAAATATAGCCAGCTGTACTCACCAGTATGTGTTCATAGTGAAATTCATGTGTTTAGAAAAGTTACCTGTACCAGACAGTTGATTTAGCAATACAATATTTCTATTACTTTCGCACCAGAGTCAGAATTTTGTCTTTTTGAATACATTTTAAGGACATTACCTATTTTTGAGGGCATATTTTCATTCTAACCATATACAACACACTTAGAGGGAATATATATATATATATATATATATATATATATATATATATATACTGTATATATACAATACTGTACATATTTCTGCTTAGAAAAACAATGTAAATGATTGTTTTTATATGTTCAGTTGCTCATGAGAAAATGATTTTAGCTTGCCATCAGTCCAGTTCTACAAAATACATTTGTATACTCAAGGATGCAATTGACCTTAGTCTCTGACCATGTTGAACTGAGACGCCACTGCAGGTGTTAAACTGATATACAGATGAACACTGCTTGCATTTGTGGCAGTACATATTGGCACAACATGGAATAAATTAATACATTATAAATATTATTTAGACCCTCTTCAGCACTAAAAAACACCTTACTTCATATTTGATTTTGTATAAGCCTATGGTACAATGGTGTTGCTTTTTCAATGTATTACACATGTGGTGTGTTCATTCTCGCAATTGCAACATTCTTGTACATTCCTGGTTTTTAGAAATTACAAATCAAGGACCTCACAGGACCATAAACCAATGCAAACAGGAGCAATTGACCAAGTCAGCCTCAGTAAAACATTTGAAAACACCTGCATCTTGGTTTTCCTGCTAAGGCATGAGATCAAACACCCCGCAATAAAACAATAACATTAATCTGGAGAGAAGATCTCAAAGAAAGAGCGTATAGGACACCGCCTTGCCCATACTTCTCTCCTCGCTTATCTATGCATCACTTTCCCTACCCCCCTTCACTCACCTTGGCTCAAGTCACTAAAAAGTTCACCAACAATGTCTATTCCACATAACATATCTTATGAATCTATTATTTTTTCTCTTTCATGTTTGGCATAATTTACAAGGTCTCAGTGAGATTGGTAAAATGGTCTAAATTTGACTGCAGTCACTCATATTATGTGAAAGATTGAAAACTTAGGAGAATTATGTTCTCCTTTTTGGGTGGTGTCTCTTCAAGACATCTGATAACAATGGCTCCTCACCCTTGAAACCAGGTGCATCCCTTTGGTGCAGATAGGCCCAACCAAATTCCAAAAATATATAGTAAATAGCCTACAATTCTTTTGTTCTGAGGCCTGTTTCGCGAAGCTAGTTGAACAAAAGAGTTCCAGAGTAGTTGACAAATCCATATGAATACAACCAGGTTTATATCAGGTTCAACGGGCTCGCAATGCTCAGTATAAGCTTTTTCTGTCAACTCTGGTTTAATCCAGAGTTTGCGATTAACTCTGAAAGTGTGACACATACGGAAAACAGCCAATCACACGGAACATGGAGAGCGTCAGTTTGATTCACTTCTTGTGAGAGAGGCGCGAAATTCACTTCTCTGAGAAGAGATAATTATAAAAAAAATATCATGAAATGAAATCCATTTACATGGCAGGAATAAACTGCTGCTGCAGACAGTGAAAGTTTGAGAGGGCAGCGGAAAGAAAAATCGGACTATTTCAAAGCAAGAGAATCAAACAAATAGGCCTTTATATAGTTTCACAAAGAGCTCAAAAGAATACACGTAAGCTTAATCAGTTTAAAAACTTATATATTAAAGCTTGTTTCATATGCTGCTCAAAAAAATGAAGGGAACATTCAATCATCACAGTGTATGGCCTGTTGCACAAAGCCAGTTTCAGTTTCTACAGATTATATCTAAGATTTTTAGCAAACTCTGGTTTTTCAGGCTCAATAAGGTGGATTGGTTTTTAGTGGGTTTCATTGATGGTAATTTACACTACACCGCTAAACAGGTTTTAGATCGTGGACCAACACTATCAGCTGTGAGTAAATATGCAATAAAGCCACTCCCCTGTATTTCTCACTCCAAATTTAAAGGCGTTTATAGTGAAAATATTTTAGAGACAAAATTGCTCATATTTTGCTGCTAATTATTTATTATATTTATATTATTATAAATGTATTATTTATGAATTATAATTATGGATAATTCATATAATATATTCATACAATTATTATATAAATTGACAATATTAAACTTTGCTTTTAAATTAAAATAAATATAATACATCCATTAATATATAAATCTTTAAAACAGATTAAATTTATGTGTATTCTGTTGAGCTCTTTGGGAAACTATGGTATGTAAATTATTAGGCCTATTTATTTGATTCACATGCATTGATATAGTTATACGCTGCATAGCATGCGACACACTTTCAGGTCCACGCGCTTCAGAGTAAATCGCACAGTGTTGAGTCGGTTGACAACGTTGTAAGGCCATTGAACCTGATCTAAACCAGGTTGGATTTATATGGATTTGTCAACACCAAACCTATTTTGAAACTCAGAGTTTGTTCAACTAGCTTCATGCAACAGGCCTCAAGTCAATTAAACGATATTAATCTGTCCAACTAGGAAACATAAGTGAATGTGAATCAGTTTCACCTGCTTTGATACAAATGAAAGATACAACAGGTGCAGTTGAGAGGCACCAGCAAGACAACCCCAAAAAAGGGAATCATTTTTGCAGGTGGTGGCCATAGAAAATTGCTCTCTCCATATTCTTCCTGACTGATTTGTCTAGTTTTGTTTGGGTCCTTGTCACTGTCTGTAACCCAATCTGGTTGCACAGGCAGTCCTGCTCCTCCAGGATGGCACATCCATACATGCTGTCGCAAGGGGGGTTGGTGTGTCTCCCAGCACAGTTTCAAGAGCATGGAGGATATACCAGGAAGACAGGCTGTTACACAAGGAGAGCTGGACAGGGACATAGATGGGCAACAACCTAGCAGCAGGACTGGTCTCTGCTCCTTTGTGTGAAGAGGAACAGGAGGAGCACTGCCAGAGGCCTACAAAATGACCTCTAGCAGGCTACCTATGTGCATGTGTCTGACCAAACTGTCAGAAAACGACTTCATGAGGGTGGCATGAGGGCCCGATGTCCTAGTGGGACCTGTGCTCACAGCTCAGCACTGCGCAGTTTGATCAGTGTTGGGCAGTAGCGTCGCTACAAGTAGTGACGCTACTAGTTTAACTACATTTCTCAGTAGCGTGGTGGTAGCGCCGCTGTTTTCTGAATCAAATAGCTTTCCAGTAGCGAAGCTCTTTTTTGATTAAGTAGTGCGGTAGCGTCCACACAAGCTACATTTCCCCAAGCATTTCTAAAGCTCAAGCTCAAATCGTAAAATACAACTACTAAGTATCATCACTGATGCATAAAGACGATTTAAAAAGGAATCATGCATGTCCTGCGTGTCTCTGTGAATGAATGGCTCAGACGCGCGGATTCATTTACCACACCTACATTTTAAATAAATTGGTCATTACAATTTAAACCATTAAAAAAAAAACATTTCATAGCTCTCTTAAAATGTAATTTATTTAAAAATTTTAATACATTAGTATTAAATTGTATACGTTTCATGATTTCAATTAATTACACGTTTTTGATTACTAAAATTTTATTTAACCATTAAAATGGGAGTCCAGAAAAATGAAAACAAAACAAAACTGAATTTGGAATGGGGGAATTTTTTTTTATTTTATTTTTTTTTATTTAAAAAATGAAAATTTCATAGGGCTCTACAAACCAGCTTTTTGGTGCATTACCACCTCCTTCTGCTCGTATGGTGTGACATCACGTACCAATATCAATCTTTGGGCTGACACGTGAGAAATGTACTTAATGGAAAAAGATGCACACGCTCTTGACACCTGGTTTTGTTATAGTTTTATATAGTTATATGGTTTTATGATATGTTTTTGTTTTTTTGTGTGCCAAATTGGTTTGGAACAGCTATTGAATAAACAATTGAACTGACAAATTCTCCCTGTCTATATTTGATTGACAG